AGGGTTCACGTCGTTCCTGTAACAACTATCGGGGGATAAGTCGACTTCTGATTGCGTCCAAGCTATTGGCTTCCGTCATACTTCGTAGGTTGTTCAAAACCCGAGAATGATTGACTGGTGAGGAGCAGGCTGGGTTTCGTTCTGGTCGAGGATGTATTGATCATATCTTCACCCTCCGCCAAATGTTAGAACACCACCATACTTATCACAGGCCAACGATCGTAGTGTACCTTGACATCAGGACTGCCTTCGATTCGTTGGATAGGACTGTTCCCTGGGATTGTCTATTGACGAAGAGGGTGTCTGAGAAGTTTATTAACATCCTGAAAGCCTTATATACAAACACCTCAGGCAGAGTGATGGCATACAACCACCTCTCTCCATTGTTCCATTCGAGTAGTGGGGTTAGTCAGGGTTGCCCAATCGCACCATTCCTCTCCAACTTTGCCGTCGATGACATTCTGGAAACAGCTCTGATGAATGTAAGTAATAGCGATGTGGATCTGTTGCCTGGAGAAAGACTTCTCGACCTTGAGCATACGAATGATATCGTCTCACTGTGCGATAATGCCCAAGGCATGCAATCCGCACTTAATCAGTTGGCAATCAGTGTCCGTAGGTACGGTATGTGCTTTGCACCTTCTAAGTGCAAAGTACTTCTACAAGCCGAAGAAATTCCATCCAATCAAACCACTTAGTGAGTCGAGAACATTTAAACAGGAAAAGACTTCGATCATACACGAGCTTCTGTAAGTTAATTGGTAATAAAATGGGTATCTATTGAGCTTAATGCTTAATCCAATTGAGTGGTACATGTTCAAGGGTGGTCGGCCTGTGATTCTCCAAAAGGGTTAACAGAAGTAATCAAGTAAGCCAAATGTGGTGCCGTGATGCACGTCTTTCAATCACTTCTGGGGTTTTAATACTATTGGGTATTTAGTAGTTGTAGTTTTCTTCCAAACAGTTGTCGATTACTCTCGCATTCTAAAGTTTATTGGTCTCATGGCTACGTTCTAAGTTATTTCGAGTTTTCGTTCTCGTGGCCTTTTGTGCCTTTTTAGTCAGCATTTCCACAAGTTCAAACGATGTAATAAGTAAGGAGCCATGTGTCGTTCCGTCTCGTCACTTTTCCTTTAAGCCTTCTAATAATTTGATCTAACATCAGTCTCTTGACGTCCTTAATTATTTACCATTTGGTTTGGATCCACTTGGTGTTAGTTATTCTGTATCAGTTATCTTGCAAGGCTCAATGTTAATACTTACAGTATCTAAACTTCTGAAATTTCATCCTTTGCTCATTGAAGCGTTGGGGCTACCTCTGTGTGCTTTTTACAACTGGCAACATTGAAAACTTCAGGAAGAATATCCTATTGTAGTCGACAGAGATTACATGTCATCTGTGGCTGTTACTTACTTCACTATCATAACGCGCGTCACAACAGTGATTGTTCGTCCCACAGATTGTTTTCTTATTTCCTCTTTCCACAGTTAAGCCTACAATAGTTCCGTTTGACTTAACATCCCGCAAGTTAAGATACGCTATCTTTACTTCGAAACAACCTCAGTTGATAGCTTATGCCTGTGAATAATTGCTATCACCGCTCAAAATGTAACTTATTAGATTCATTGCGTGATTGTGCCTTCACATTTCAGTTCAGTTCTAAAACAATTACATAGGGTAACATCCTTATCATCTCTCTCACACTCTGATTCAATACTCAGGAAGATCTTCTTGATACATTCCAATAAACGGGCCCCCCAGCATATTGAAGTCGGGAAAACAATTGAAAACGATTCGCTGCCTATTCTAATGTAAACGTTTTAGGAAAACTGTTATAAACGAATGTTAGTATTGCTCACCACGTTTTTCTGTTTAGTAAACTGTTTATCATCCTATCAATATAGCACATTCTGCTTGTTATAAAATTAGCTTTGACAATTTATAATAACGTATAAAAAACCAATAAATGCATGTGATGAGGCGTACTAGTATGCAAAGCGAAAATATTCTAGGATTTCCCCATCCGTTAACATATGAATAGTCAACCACCAAAGCATTATTATTATTTACCGTACTTACTGCAATCTGATCAATCTTCATCGGTCTCGTAAAAAGTGTGTAAACTGGATTTTAAATCAATATTTTCGACTCCATGTTTTAAACAGCTGAAAAAATTCAACCAAGAACCTTCCATACAACCACCTCTCTCCATTGTTCCATTCGAGCAGTGGGGTTAGCCAGTGTTGCCCAATCGCACCATTCCTCTCCAACTTTGCCGTCGATGACATTCTGGAAACAGCTCTGATGGATGTAAGTAATAGCGATGTGGATCTGTTGCCCGGAGAAAGCCTTCTCGACCTTGAGTATGCAGGTGATATTGCCTTACTGTGCGATGATACCCAAACCATGCAATCCTCACTTAATCAGTTGGCAATCAGTGTCCGTAGGTACGGTATGTGCTTTGCACCTTCTAAGTGCAAAGTACTTCTACAAGACTGGCAGGATTCTAATCCTGTACTCACTCTGGATGGTGAACAGATAGAAGTAGTCGAGAAGTTCGTGTATCTAGGTAGCTGCATAAGTGCTGGTGGTGGCACGAATGAAGAGATCAATTCAGGAATAGTGAAAGCCAGAGCGGCTTATTCAAATGTGGGCCATCTTCGGCGCCTTCGTGATGTTAGTCTGGCTGTAAAAGGTCGGATCTACAACGCGTCGGTGTGAGCAGTTTTGCTCTATGCTTGTGAAACCTGGCCTCTCCGAGTTGAGGACGTTAGACGACTCTCTGTGTTCGATCATCGTTGTCTCCGAAGGATTGCTGACATCCAGTGGCTGCTCCATTTTAGTAATGCAGAGGTTCGGCATCGTGTGTTCGGGCACAGAGACGATAATGCAATCGGTGTCACCATCTTGAAACACCGACTTCGGTGGCTTGGACATGTTCTACGAATGTCGTCCCAGAGGATTCCACGTCGTGCATTATTTGCCGACTCTGGGACTGGTTGGAAAAAGCGGAGAGGTGGTCAGTGTACGACATAGTGTCGGGGTATGAAAGAAAGCTGCAAAGGGCTGGCTTCTGTTGGTCCTTCTTGATTCCCTGGTTGGGGTCCGAGAGATGGTGCCACACAGTGGTTGGAGACGATATCAGATATGGCTCGGAATAGAAGCCAGCGGCGATCCTGCTGTAACCTTCTTTTACTTTCTTCATAAGCAGTGGTTGTATCTTCCTTAACTAAACGATTCCTTCTGATTGTACCTTTCTGTTCCTCTATTATTACTATTATTATTATTACACTACCTTACATTAATCTGTTGTCGTTATTGTTCTCCTTTCTTTCTTATGCGCTCCTTACCTTTTTTCTCTTCCCATTCTCATTGTTTTGTGTGGCGCATATATATTTGGCGCACTCTTGTACCAATATTTATGTGTTCAAATAAATAAATAAATAAAAGCGTGACCGTAGTGCTGTAGGGACAACTTGTTGAGACCTAACAACCGGAGGATGATTCCGTGGGATAAGGTGAGTTGTGCAGTTTTAGGGTCAACCTTTCCCAGCTTCACCCTTCCATTGTGGAAAGGTAGCATCGTTGTTATGCTGGTTGTCTGAGGGAAACCTTTTACTGCAGTTACACTTTTGCACAGTTAGTAGTACGACTTCACCCTCGGACCTTGGGTTAGCTGCTTTTAGTCGTACCGCTCTTCAACCGACCTGTCAGTCATTGTAGAACCTTGAGGAACGATTGTTCCAGTCAGTTTAGTCCGATTATTGCATCACGATAGGCGAGCCTAAACACTACTTTAAGGTGTCACCAACGGTCAGGAACAAATTTCATAATGGGAGAAATGAGGTTTATTCACAATGGTGAGGATTTGATGTGGCAAAAACCTGACTATACTCCAATAGAAACCACTTAGCAAATTGCACTAGACAGTAAGATGACTACTCCTACCACTACGAGGCAGTTTATGAATGAGGCTGAACGCTAAAAGATGAAAATAATATATATTTGTAATATTCCAATGAGTAGGAAATTAGATTTTCCACTCATTGGGATATTACAAATGTATTATTTTTATTTATAATAATCAACCCAATGCTCAATTTATTCGAAATTAGCTAAAAGGTGAAGGTTTATTACAGTATCAAACCGCTCATTCCTAAGCATATTCGATTCGCTTATTTATGCAATTCCTTAACATAGTTGTTTTTTCAGGAAATCATGATAATACGTCAACTGGTACGTAAATTCGGTGATTCCAAGTTTGAAGATGTCGTAAATAATTTGTGTCTCAGGATAAGATTCAATCCAAACATCTTAGGTTAACCTAATCATCCTTGTAATGTGCACAGTAATATTACAATTGATTGATCACTGGGTGGTGATCAATCTCATGCTTGTCTAGTCCTTATTAGTGCAGATCGAATGCTATCGATCATGTTGCAATGTGGCCACCAGTCTAGGTGACTCGACACTGCGGGCACTATGTATTGAGATTAGATGGTGGTTTCCTGTTGACTACCTCCAACCACACCCAGTGATCAATCAATTGTGATTACATCTCAGTCCTACAGGAGGTCAGTCACGGCTCGGATAGCTCAGTGGTAACGTCTCTGACTGTGAAGCTGGGTGACACGAGATCGAATCCGCCAGGGAGCACCAGTTTCCCTCAAGATTACAGGTACACCTTGCTGACGAGTGCCAAGTAGCACGAAACCCGGGTCCAGGGTTTCCTGTTGACTACCTCCAATCACCACCTAACAGTGATATTACGTTATTCGAGAAAAGTAAACTAGTTTTATATTTCATCACGTTCCAGAAAAAGCGAAAAATCTTATTACCAATAAAGTTATCTAAAGGTATGGTCTGATAACAAAACAGAATTGAAAATCTTATTGGTGTTTAAGAAGTCTACTGAAAATACCACAAGGGAATTCTAAATATTAAACAATATATCACTCGTAATGACGTGTATACAATTTAGACACAAAAATGAACATACCCGCTCACTGTAAAGATCTGTCAAAAGCGTCAGGATTCGAACCCGCAAGCCTCGAATGCCATTTGTAACATTTAGACGACTTAGTTTTGCAAGCAGCTCGAAACCAGATGGCGACATTACTGAAGTTGAAAAGAACTGTTTTTGAGCAACTGGGAAGTTACGCAGCAACGCACTTAACGTTGACACTCCTCCTGATAGTAATGTAGTGAATTCCAACGAATCTTGCTCATCCATGCTTGCTTTCAAAAAAGAATGTAGTTGGTCAACCACACCATTTTGAAGTGCGACTACTTGGACATCAGAATTCCTATAAACATGATTAATGAAAAAACATTCACTAAGATTTGAAAACTTGGTAACACTCACGTTTTGAAACAATAATGTTAATAAGCAATCATATTGAAGTAAAGAAGCGGCGCATTTAGCTTTTTAATTGGCCATCATCTAAAAGAATATGCAAAAAACGATCGACGAACAATTTGATACATAGTGAATATCCCGCTTGCTATGAATCAGAATTTATGACAGCGCACACCAACACGGTTACAATCCAATAGAAACTGAATCAACTGAACTGATGTAACTTAACTTTTAACAAGACCTGCAGGACTAGATATTTATGGAAAATGTATTATTTACAGGGTACTAAAGACGACATAAAAGGCAACTGCTCTAAAAAGAAAGGTGAGCGAATAGTTATTTTATTCTCTTATTAAAACAAAATAACCAACAATATATTATAAAAACAACCCATAAATACAGTATTAACAAATTCTATAGCGAATTTCCATAGTTTTGCACGTATAAGTATAGCACTAAGAAAGCAAAAGAAGCAATATTCAAATGGATGACTTGTGGGTTGTCCGATTAAACGATACAGTAGTAAATAAGAGGCAAACACATTCTGTTGCATCCTTGTCATTTCCTCCTGCGCCTCCGTTGATTAGAGCTTGAGAAGTAAAAGATAAGGTTAATAGGAAGCTATCCAACCTTCTTCAGGAAGCCAGGCTTTCATATCCCATAATCACAGATGATGATTTCGATTCGTAGGTAAGTAGACAAAGATGAGCTGAAATATATTTAAGTATATCTTGTGGAGTTCCAACCCAGAGAACAAATAACAGTGATCTCAGCAATTATGTGTAAGCGGCTGTTTATTCTTAGGAAGAATTAACTTAAAGTATAAGGGTAGACATAGTCTACCAGCATCCTTCGGACGCTAACATAAGGAATAGTTTCCTTCTGGAAAGCAAGCTAGGAGTCCAGTCATATTTTATTAAGTGCAGGGAGTTTTACTAAAACATGATAATTTCACAACAGGAAGACCCTTGAGAGCCCACTTAGAAGATGAAAAACAAGGATGCATTAAGGGATTCAACTAGGCATTTAATCGACCATGAAGAAAAAAGTAAACATATGTAAACAACTGTAATGAGTCCATAAAAAATGTTAGTGGACCCTGTTAGCTTCTAGTGAACTGATAGGTGCTCCGAAAGATAAAGTAAAAGACTCAGAGAACGATGAACATTAGAAAATTAGAAGTAGACTAACAAAATGCTTATACAATTTCCGCGAGCAGTAGTATGAGAGTGAAGTGAGATATGAAATTTATTTGAACACATAAATATTGGTACAAGAGTGCGCCAAATATATATGCGCCACACAAAACAATGAGAATGGGAAGAGAAAAAAGGTAAGGAGCGCATAAGAAAGAAAGGAGAACAATAACGACAACAGATTAATGTAAGGTAGTGTAATAATAATAATAGTAATAATAGAGGAACAGAAAGGTACAATCAGAAGGAATCGTTTAGTTAAGGAAGATACAACCACTGCTTATGAAGAAAGTAAAAGAAGGTTACAGCAGGATCGCCGCTGGCTTCTATTCCGAGCCATATCTGATATCGTCTCCAACCACTGTGTGGCACCATCTCTCGGACCCCAACCAGGGAATCAAGAAGGACCAACAGAAGCCAGCCCTTTGCAGCTTTCTTTCATACCCCGACACTATGTCGTACACTGACCACCTCTCCGCTTTTTCCAACCAGTCCCAGAGTCGGCAAATAATGCACGACGTGGAATCCTCTGGGACGACATTCGTAGAACATGTCCAAGCCACCGAAGTCGGTGTTTCAAGATGGTGACACCGATTGCATTATCGTCTCTGTGCCCGAACACACGATGCCGAACCTCTGCATTACTAAAATGGAGCAGCCACTGGATGTCAGCAATCCTTCGGAGACAACGATGATCGAACACAGAGAGTCGTCTAACGTCCTCAACTCGGAGAGGCCAGGTTTCACAAGCATAGAGCAAAACTGCTCACACCGACGCGTTGTAGATCCGACCTTTTACAGCCAGACTAACATCACGAAGGCGCCGAAGATGGCCCACATTTGAATAAGCCGCTCTGGCTTTCACTATTCCTGAATTGATCTCTTCATTCGTGCCACCACCAGCACTTATGCAGCTACCTAGATACACGAACTTCTCGACTACTTCTATCTGTTCACCATCCAGAGTGAGTACAGGATTAGAATCCTGCCAGTCTTGTAGAAGTACTTTGCACTTAGAAGGTGCAAAGCACATACCGTACCTACGGACACTGATTGCCAACTGATTAAGTGAGGATTGCATGGTTTGGGTATCATCGCACAGTAAGGCAATATCACCTGCATACTCAAGGTCGAGAAGGCTTTCTCCGGGCAACAGATCCACATCGCTATTACTTACATCCATCAGAGCTGTTTCCAGAATGTCATCGACGGCAAAGTTGGAGAGGAATGGTGCGATTGGGCAACACTGGCTAACCCCACTGCTCGAATGGAACAATGGAGAGAGGTGGTTGTATGGAAGGTTCTTGGTTGAATTTTTTCAGCTGTTTAAAACATGGAGTCGAAAATATTGATTTAAAATCCAGTTTACACACTTTTTACGAGACCGATGAAGATTGATCAGATTGCAGTAAGTACGGTAAATAATAATAATGCTTTGGTGGTTGACTATTCATATGTTAACGGATGGGGAAATCCTAGAATATTTTCGCTTTGCATACTAGTACGCCTCATCACATGCATTTATTGGTTTTTTATACGTTATTATAAATTGTCAAAGCTAATTTTATAACAAGCAGAATGTGCTATATTGATAGGATGATAAACAGTTTACTAAACAGAAAAACGTGGTGAGCAATACTAACATTCGTTTATAACAGTTTTCCTAAAACGTTTACATTAGAATAGGCAGCGAATCGTTTTCAATTGTTTTCCCGACTTCAATATGCTGGGGGGCCCGTTTATTGGAATGTATCAAGAAGATCTTCCTGAGTATTGAATCAGAGTGTGAGAGAGATGATAAGGATGTTACCCTATGTAATTGTTTTAGAACTGAACTGAAATGTGAAGGCACAATCACGCAATGAATCTAATAAGTTACATTTTGAGCGGTGATAGCAATTATTCACAGGCATAAGCTATCAACTGAGGTTGTTTCGAAGTAAAGATAGCGTATCTTAACTTGCGGGATGTTAAGTCAAACGGAACTATTGTAGGCTTAACTGTGGAAAGAGGAAATAAGAAAACAATCTGTGGGACGAACAATCACTGTTGTGACGCGCGTTATGATAGTGAAGTAAGTAACAGCCACAGATGACATGTAATCTCTGTCGACTACAATAGGATATTCTTCCTGAAGTTTTCAATGTTGCCAGTTGTAAAAAGCACACAGAGGTAGCCCCAACGCTTCAATGAGCAAAGGATGAAATTTCAGAAGTTTAGATACTGTAAGTATTAACATTGAGCCTTGCAAGATAACTGATACAGAATAACTAACACCAAGTGGATCCAAACCAAATGGTAAATAATTAAGGACGTCAAGAGACTGATGTTAGATCAAATTATTAGAAGGCTTAAAGGAAAAGTGACGAGACGGAACGACACATGGCTCCTTACTTATTACATCGTTTGAACTTGTGGAAATGCTGACTAAAAAGGCACAAAAGGCCACGAGAACGAAAACTCGAAATAACTTAGAACGTAGCCATGAGACCAATAAACTTTAGAATGCGAGAGTAATCGACAACTGTTTGGAAGAAAACTACAACTACTAAATACCCAATAGTATTAAAACCACAGAAGTGATTGAAAGACGTGCATCACGGCACCACATTTGGCTTACTTGATTACTTCTGTTAACCCTTTTGGAGAATCACAGGCCGACCACCCTTGAACATGTACCACTCAATTGGATTAAGCATTAAGCTCAATAGATACCCATTTTATTACCAATTAGCAAAAAATATGAGACAGTGAAAGCGAAACTGACGTTTGGTCAGAGGTATGAAAAAAATTCAAATAGTTCGACAGCATCTACTGAACGCACAAAAGTGTTATCATACTTAGGAACATTTTAATGAACGCACCCCTGAGTAGCAGCGCTAATTGCTTTTAAAGAAGCCTTTTTAACTTCATAACTGGGATGGTGCAAAAGCCTTGAGAGTGTTTCGAAACCATTTCTAGAGAAAATCTTTGCATTGTCAATCTGTGAGTGGAAATGATCAGATTACAGCTGTACCTGGTGCAGGTAATAGGATAGATCCTCCAAAAGTATTGCTAATCGTTCGTCTGAGGAATTATCCTGTTTTATTTCAGTCATTATTTCAGTTATAATTTCGGGATCTGTCTTGACATTCATATTTATTTTCTGGAAGTCTTTTTTTAATTCGTCATATGAACGAAAGCGTCTGACTGATTGATTGTTGGGCTCTCTCAAGTTATCCGCTCCTGAATATGTCGACACACTTATGGCAGGTTTCCCAGGTTCACCTACTGACTCAACAGAACACACAACTAACCTGAAATTATGTTGGAAGTGTTAGACATCACATCCATAAGTTTAGCCTTTATGTACTCGGTGTTTAATTTCTGTCTAACGTGTAGACCAGTTGGGACACTCCGGCCGGGTGTAACTCCTTTCCGCTTATGAGGAGGGACAAAATCACTGGAATTTTTTGCTGCCGGACATTGGAGAACTTGTAAGACTTACTATGTGACGTCACTATGAGCAGGAATACCACGATTGAAACCCATATGACCTCCATCTAAAGCTGTAAAGTAAGGCGTGACGTTGCAGTGCACTCAGCTAAGACAATGCAGGTGAGAACACATTCACAACACACATCAAGTGGGCAACGTTCCAGGGGTATCGTCCACGGTGGGGGTTGCGAGCACTTGAAGGTCAAACTGTCACAAGATGATTGATGCGTCACATCGACAATTCGTGAAGTTTTTCAGAAGCGGTCATATCAAGACATTTTTAGATTTGAATTGAGTTCAGCTACACCACGTCAGATAACGTCCATCCTTCAAGTAACGAAGACGATGCCATTGTGATGATGCATGATGTGGGACGGATCAGATTTCAGATTTGTGTAGTAAGGACAGAAGGCCTACGGCCTATGTTATTCCTTTTCTAGTATGCTTCTGTGAGTGTCCAGTCTTCTCTTGAAAGAGTCAATTGAAGGTGCGGACACCACTGCGTCAGGCAGCAGGTTCCAAGTATTGATGACGTGGTGTGAAAACCTGTATGCCAGGGGTATTTTGTTCGTTCTTGGCTTTTCTACTAGCCTGCTATGTCCTCTGAGGTGTCCCGATCTAGTGGGAAGAAAAAGAGAGAGAACAAGTTAGGTCCGAAATCATTTCTTAGTATTCTGTACATCAAAATTAGATCTCCCCTTAGTCTGCGATAGGACAGAGTAAAGAGGTTCAGTTTTTCAAGCCGCTCTTTATATGATAAACCCCGGAGTTCCGGAATTGCACGCGTAGCTGCCCTCTGTACTTTTTCTAGTGTGTCCGAGTCACCTTTTAAACAGGGGCTTGCAGCCCGAGCGCAGTTCTCAAGCTTAGGATGTGTATACTGTGGTGAACATGGTAGTATCTAGCTTAGTGAATGTCCTTTTTAAAGCCTAGAGGGTTCGAAACCCCTTGGCTGCGACCTCCCGGCAATGGGCCGTCGTCTTAAGATCATTACCCACTGTCACCCCTAGATCCTTATGAGACCGGACTACGGGTAATGACACATCCCCTAAGTTGTACTTATTAACCTTTGAATCGCCAAAGTGTACGTAGACACACTTTTCCGTGTTGATAGGCTTCAGCCACTCTTTAGACCAGTTTATCATATTATTTAAGTCTGCCTGAAGAGTAAATGAGTCTTTGTCTCCAGTTATTACTCGCCAAATTTTTACATCGTCAGCGTATAATAAGATTGGAGACTGTACTATACTCGTAAGATCATTAACCTTGGGGTACTCCACTAAGTACTGGTCTCCAGATGGAGCACTTTGGATTTATTCTTACTTTTTGTCTACGACCTACTAGGAAATCCTCCATCCATTTTCATAGAGGTCCGGAAACACCAAAGTTTTCCAACTTCAATAGCAGTCTATTTGTTGGCACCTTGTCAAAAGCCTCACTGAAGTCTATGTAGACAACATTCACTGAGTTTCTGTTGTCTAGCGCATTAATCCAGAACTCCCTTGCTATAAGGAGGTTCGTTGTACAGGATAGACCCTTTCTGAAACCATGTTGTGCCATGTTCAGCAAGTTATTGGTTTCCATAAATGCTGTTATGGTCCGTTTTATTATCCTTTCCAGTATTTTAATTACAACACTGGTGAGGCTTACGGGTCTGTAATTTGATGGAACTTATCGTAGACCAGTTTTATGTATGGGAGTGACGATTGCGTCCTTCCAGTCCATAGGTAGCACACCTTGGTCAAGTGACATATTGAATATCACAGTCAATGGGGCCGCGATATATTGGGCAATATGTCTCAAGATTTTGGGGTGTAGTTCATCTGATTCTGTTGACTTTTCCATGTTTAGGGTGTTGAGAGCCTTAAGCACATCGTATTGATCGAAGTCCATGGTGAGCAGCTGGTTTGTTGACTCTTTATTTTGGTCTGGTTCTTTGTCTAGAGGAGGTTCCTGAGTGAAAACTGCCCCGAAATAGTCAGCCATAGCCTCTGCTTTTTCCTGATCTTCCTCTGTCATTTCAGATTCACTTCCTTCTTTAATTAGGTTGGGAATCCAATGATGCATCCTTGTTCTGTAGTTTATGTACGAGAATGTTCTCTTGGGCTGCTTGAGTGCAGATTGTGCCAGCTGCATTTCATATTATGATATTATGTTATCTCGAAGATTTACAAGTTGGGACAATTTCGAGGCCTGTTTGAAAGAAGTACATAAGGTAATATGGATTCTGTGGTAAGTAATTATTTTTTCAGTATACGCATACTAAGTACGTTATGTCAGTATGTAAAAAGACAGTGATGACCCATCCCTATAGTATTTTTTGTAAGATATGTGTGTACATATGGACGTAAACGGAGTTCATCAGAGTCAGATGCTTGCGTTCTGGATGTAGATTCAAACGGTTCAAATGGTTGTGGACGGAATAGAAGAAGCTTTCGCTTAACAGGCTTCCGTGTCTAGTAGCAAGGGATCAGCAAAACCTCCAGGTAGGAACCTAGGCATGTTAACAATAAAAGAGGAGAAAGAAATTGGTAAATCATAGAGTGATACTATTCTTAATCCTTAAGAATACGTCAGGTTGCCTCCTGAAGGACTCCTGAGAAGTCACCTGAACTAGCTCAGCTGATAGCGAGTTTCGGCATTTGACAACTCTTAAAGAGTAGGAGTTGTGTCTACAATCCGTTTCGCTGTGTTTTGTTTCCGGTTTCTGGGTGTTACCCCCTAGGTTTTTGTTGGAGCTAAACTTAAATAGGTGTTTCAGGGGATATCCAGAAGCGTTAAGGATGCTGTAAGCCATTAGAAAGTCACCTCTAAGACACCTGTACTCCAAAGGGTAAAGGTTTGGTGACTGGAGGCGCCCTTCATAAGGCTTCAATTTGAGTTCCTAGACTGATTTCGAGGCTCGTCACTGGATACGCTTCAGAGTGTCCTTATCCTTTTGGGGTGGTAGAGGAAACATTATGTTTCCGTACTCTAAATGGAAACGAATGAAACAGAATGATATATTTCTGTAGATCCTTCTAGACGATAGTTGACGTCAAGTGAACGATGATATTCTACTGATCAGTACAGCAATTCGTATCTTACAATGTTTGGTTTCTTGGAATTTCCATAAACAGCTTATAAAGGACGATATCGACTAAGTGTGATCATGAATTCACACTCTAATTATTTGAGTTTAGAAACTCAAATTATCAACGACATTTTACGGCACGTCCAAGCGGACACTTAAGTAAAGTTATTCAATGAAAGTGAGAACGTATGTGATTTGCTTCCATCGCAAGGAGAAAACAGTTTTTTACCACGCGTTCCCTGAGGTAGTATGTATTGACCCGACCTATCAGACCAACACAGTTGTGTAAGTAACGGATAGTAAAATAGTTAATTTAAAGTTTTCCATTGTTCCAGCTAGTGGCTACTGATAGACTTGGGCAAGAACACACATTTTTCTGTGTTCTTTTACTGGCAAGAACGATCCGAAGACGTCGTAAGACTACTGGAATACTTCAAAAACATAATTTGCGGTACTTATGATGCACTCATTTTCGTTATGCGTTCGGCTGTAATACAAATTTCCGCGATACAGTCTACGCCCAGTCATGCCGACATAATACGTTGTTTCATGTCTTAAGAGCATTTTTCAGGTAGGTAAGCGTTAAATGTACAAATTATTTTCTGTAGTTCAGAAATGCTGATGTACGCAAATGCTTGGAACATCTCGTAAAAGTCAGGTGATCTGACATGTGAGTTTCGCTTTTCATAAGGCCTTATATTCAAATTTACTCAGAAGTACTAACATCTAAGAACCCATTTTCTACGGGCATATGATTACATGAGAGATAATTGGATTGCTCAGGAGTCAGTGTGGGCTCGCTGTTACCAGCGACATATGCTAAGTCTGGGAAATCACACAAACAATTGTGTGGAAAGTGCTCATAAACACATAAAGAGTGTTTCAGCAGAAGTGATTCTCTTCCATTGACAATCTGAAAAATCTAGAGCAAACAGACACTGGCCTAAGTTTGCGTCCATATGACCCTATAAAGGATCTCTAACGATTTCCAAATCTTTAGGCAAGAAAAATATTTAGATGTATCAATAAATCCAGGTTCCAATATCATTCCAAAATCTTTCAAATGAGTTTACAGATAAAAAATAGCTAAAAATTATAAACGTAGTAGTAAAAGGAAACACAAATTAATAGTAGGAGGACATGTCATAGTATCAAGCCATAACCACACAATTCGCAAAGCTAAACACGAGACAACTGGCAAAACAGATATTCAACAATTGACGCGGAGAAAAATACAACAATGGATGAGGCGGGAAGAATAAATTCAATCGATTCATTCGGAATTCAATTCATCGGATGTCATGCATCGGCCTTGCAGGCGTGGTCATTTTTGAGTGTTGCCTTATATCTTTTATTCATAGTAAATATATTTTTCTATCTCTAGCCTAAGTGTGTTCTCCATCATATATTGGTGATTCTTACGATGCGATCGCAATCTCCGAATTCCGGGGAAAATTTGGCCCGTTTCGGGCAGGCCGCTATAATAATTTTAAGGAAATTTTAGGGAAGCGGCGCCCAAACCCCAAAATTTCGCATAAAGTTGAGGAGTTCCTCGAAATTTCTCCTAAACCTTGGACAATGCCTCCGAATTTTTCCAAACTTTGGGAAGGTCACTTGACTTTGGGGATTTCATCCAAACTTCTTCAAACTTGGGAGATTGAGATGAACCAGTGTAGACAATAATGTGGCCGCCACGTAATATATTATAGATTAGGAAGTTACATCATGACAAATCTGCAATGTTAGGATTACATCTATTAGTAGACAAGTACAAACACCGAAGTAGACCATAAATCTACATCTGTAAGCTCGACTGTAGAAACGCAGCCTATTATTATTCCTTATTTTCACTTTAACTTCCTTGATCGATTTTTACTGATATTAAACCAGTATTCTGTCAGTCCTCCGATTAATGCTCACATGTTTTATCTTATTGTGATGTTGATTATTATTCATAACTAACTATCTCAATCGATAATAATAGCAGGTCATTTATAATAATTATTAGCTACGATGGTTTATTAGCAAGCTTTAATAGCATTCACGTGTTTTGGCGAAATATACTTGTTAAAACATCAAGATCTAGTAAACATGACCTGTAAATAACGTAAATATAGATTGACTAGCGAC